TCCAAAAGTTGGAAAATTAAACTAAATAAACGTTGGAAGACTATGCCTGTTGACCTAATTTTATCTCTTCCATTTATTTACTTTCTTTCTGTCCTTGGTTTTTACATTATTATAGCGAGTAGTTTTGGTTTTCTCAATTTAAATAGGTATTAAATTTTCACAACGAAATTTTCATGTATCTATAGTTTTGACATTAACGTGAAGTATAAATGGGCAACAGAAGAATCAAGATTCTAGGAGAAGAGAAATTTCGAAGGATAGAGACGAAGGGATGGATGCATTAAATGTTTAAAAAAAAATTAAAAAGGTAAAAACATAAAAAATTAAAAGAAAAGTCTTGAAAAGCAGCCGCCATTCATGGCTGCTAGTTTTCAAAGCTGCTGTAAGTTGTAACTGGAGCAGCACGTCATGTGATTTGTTCCTTATTTTAATTTTTTTTAATAAATGGAATATAGTCGGTCGGTTCGGTCAGAAATTACTTTTCACGCCAAACCGACAGACCAAAATTCGGTTTTGAAATCTAAAAACTGATTTCGACCAATTTTTCCATCAAACCGACCGACAGACGTCGATTCAATCGATTTTTCAAAGTTATTTGTTCACCCTTAGAATCTAAAGCCTCACCTTATTTGTGGAGTCTGATTCTTTATTAGCAATTCAATCTCTTTCACTGGAGTGAGCAAATTTTTTAAATTTCAAGTTTCTTCGTCTGAACCTCCTTTATGCATATTATTAGTAAATCTCTCAATAAGACAACCAATTGTTTAGTTTAGTTTTTTTAGTACAACATATATGAAGTGCGGGATCGAATTTACAACCAAAGAGAATATATACACGTCAATCACCAAATTGTTTAGTTAATAAAGTAATTTCGCATCCTTCTTGCTTTTGGCTTTTCCACTATTTCTCTCTATGCTATAATTGAGGAAAGATTCAACTCTTGTAACCCACGTGATCTTATCAGCTTCTAAGTTAATGAAATTCTCTTTATTTTAATTAAAAAAAATATTCTTGTAAGGTTTATTAGGGTATATTAGTTGTTTAAGTTATTTTACTAACCACAAGTTAGCCAATTAGTTAGTATTTTGTTCGTCACGGTTTATTAATGACTCTTGTTTATTTAAAGAAAGAGGATTTGTATTATTTTTTTAATCAATGAGAATATTGGTACTCTTAGTCCTCATTTCAATTCTAATATAGTTAGTAAAATAATTGAAACAACTAATATACCGCCTTAATAAGCTAATATTCTAATTCCTACCCTACATCTATAATGTTATATATATATATATATAAAGAAAATAAAAATCTTCGTTTCTACAAGACTTTGTAAATTATAGTAAGATTGTGTTAGAAATGTTAATGACACTTATGACTCTCTTGCATGATTGCAATAAAACCGTGAAGGAATGTGAGAAGTTAGTCAACCTAACCATTATATTATAATATAGTTACTTTCCTGGCCCTTAAATACACCATCCTAAAAATATTTTTCAAGTTAGTTTCTTTTTCAGTACACATTTTATTGATTAAGAACTCAACTTTATTTTAGGTCAATCATTGTCAAATAATAACGGTTAAAATTATTATTTCATTACAAATGATCCATGTAATTTTAGAAGTTTTATTATTATAGTTCATATGATTTGATTACATCTTACGCTTTTTTTTTTTCTAATTCAACAATTGTGGGGCAGTGGAGCGAATCATCAATTTTTAAGTTGATAATAGATCCGATTCTTACAAAACATCTTACCATTATCAAATGTGTACTTTCTAATGTGTGACACTTTCTTATTTATTTATTTTTTAGTTTATCACAAGTGTGGGATGAAGCTTGAACCTCCGACGTTTAGAGAGTGAGCATATATATATAGATACATACATACATGATAAGAGTTGAATTGGTTTTAACTCATGGGATTATCTTAAGATGTTTGATAAAATATATGCTTTTCTAGTAATATACATATCTTTTCTACGAATGAGTTCGTTTACTTGAAAAAAATCACATAATTTTCTCTTTTACCCAATTTAAATATTAACATAGCCAATCTGATACAATCAAGTAAATTAACTTTAAACTATAGCACATTAATAACTCATCACTTCTTTCTATCACGTCTAAAAAAGATAGGTCTCACGCAAAGAAAACTATTTACATATGACAATTCCAAAGACGATTTAAAAAATTTAATCATAATATATTCTTAGTAATTTTGAGTGTATTTCTTTTATACATATCGGAACTTTAGTACAATATAGGAAACGAAATAATTAATTCGAGGTTGAGAAAAATATTTGGAGATCTTTTTGGAAGATGGTCTACTACTGCCTTCCACGTTTCAAGTAAAGTCAAGGCCCAACTATGTGCATACGTGTAATATGATTATTGGGCCAGTTCATTGTGGAAAATCACGGGCGTGTGAATTAGTTTTGAATAAATTAAAAGATGAGAAGCATAATTCAAATCAATCACGTTTCTATTTTTTTTTCCAAATTTCTTTTAAATAATTGTTGGGTTAGGAAAGATCTTAAACTTTGAGGTTGGAGTGGTTTCTAAAACAACAATTATAAGTACATAAAGTTTTTTTTTTTTTGGAATAACTTCTGAAACGGTAGAATATTCTTTTAATCGATTAAGTGTTTTTCAATATTTATGTGGTCTTCCATCATTTTGTCAAAATAATGTTTTAAAATTTGAGAAAATAATTGGAAACATGTTTAAGTTATGGTTTGTCTTCTTAAAAATGTGTTTTTTTTATGGGTTTAAAAATGTGTTTATGATGAATCTTGAAAGATGAAAAAGTAGAGTTTTAAAGCGATTTTAAAAATTTTAAAGTGCTTTTTAAGATAAGCATTTAATTAATAATTTGCTCTTTCCACTTATGGACCGAGGTGCTTCACTTAAAAATTATAATAAATATAAATGTCATAAATGAAGATAAACGTATTATTCGAAAAAAATTTAAAATTCATAAATACTTTTTAATAAGAAATAGGTACTTTAACCACTCGAGATAGGTACCTTAACTTAGATAGGTAAGAAAAAGATTCAACTACATTAACATTAATTGTAAGCGAAAAGTTTCATTGTTACTGAATTTTCTCACCAAGTATCTTCATTCAAGATTTCAATGTTTTTTTCGTACTAGTATTTTACAAAATAAATATTTATGTCTCATATGTCAAATTAAGTGTTAAGGATGAATGAAACATACATATTTAAAGAACATAATTGACAATTTTGATTACCCTTTTAACTTTGAAGAAGGTGGAAATAGAGGTATTTACATACACGTCTATCAATGATTCAATAATATAGTTTATCATCGATAGCTTGATAAATGTTAATGAGCGATATTCGACGGTAAAAAGATTATTACATAAAATGTTTAAAAAGATGTATGAAAAAATTGTCATATTTACGAAGAATTACTAATTCCTAAGGTAGGTAGCCATCACGGGATTTAAACCCATTTTTTATTAATTATCTTAGCACATTTGGACCAAATGAGCCACGCATGATGGTTATATTTGTTATTATTATTACGAGATATATTTCTTTTGAGAGCCTACAATTTCTACAATTTAATGGAGAGATGAGAGATTCAAACTTACAACACTTAAGAGATATTTTCAAATGTTTTGTCAATTTAAGTACGTTCAAGATATCTTAATATATATATATATATATATATATATATTATTTTATGAATCTTCAAAATATAGATTTTAGTCTATAAAAAGTTTAGGTTTATTTCATTTTAATCTTCACTTTTAAAATTTTAAAAATCTATTTTAACAATTAAATTTAAAAAATAAAATTAGGGTAATTGTAGTGGGTAGCAAAAATATTTTATGTATTTTAAAAAATGTCACCAGCTTTTCAAAATTTCAAATATATCAAAATATTTGAATTTTTATTTTCGGAATTTTTATTATTCTAATTTTACTCTTACCTGATATATATATGATGTATATCTATATCTTATATACATCCAATGTATAGCTATATACATCAAATCTATATCTGATATAAATCTTATGTAAATTTGTATATGATATATACATCAAATTTATATCTAATGTACATTCGATGTAACTTTGATATACTTCCGATATACACTCGATGTACCTCTAATATACAGTATTAGATGTACCATGATATACATTATCATATAGACCACTGATATACATCAAATGTACGTATTATACATATGATATATATATCTGATGTACTTCTAATTTATGATATACTAAATATATTTCCAATTAATATATTAAATATATTTGCAACTGATATACTAAATATAAGATATATCAAATGTTTAATTTTTAGTGGTATATCAGCTGTTTAAATTCTAGTTTATCATTTCAATTGGTTGATTAATACGCTAATATTATCAATAAATTAATTACTGTATCACTACTATTTATTCAATATTAATATTAATTATATACTAAATATAGGATATCAACTGTTTAAATTTATAAAGTATATCAAAATTTTAACTTATGATTCACATAAACCTTTTATATAATAACTTTATATTTCAAAAAAAAAAAAACATTGCATCATTGTTTTCATCTGAAAAAAACATTGGATATAATAGTATGATATCAACACACATATATCATAGTTATATTAGTACATATAATGGTTATATCAGAGTTATATAAATGGTAAATTAGAAGCATATTAAGTATACATTAGTGTTATATTAGTAGTAAATCATATAATCATATAAGAAGTTATATCAGTAGATACTATAGTTATATCAGTGGTATATAATTTGTATATCAATGGTAAATTTATCAGTGGTATATCATTTGTATATCAATGGTAAATTTGATATGCTATCACATATATATGTATTGTATAAGCATGGTGAATCAATGGTTATCATATGTATATCAGTGATAAAACGTGTTAAAAATTCAGTAGATATCACAGTTATATCATAAGTAAATCAATTGTAGATCATTATTATATGAGTGGTATATCATAGATATATATCACTGGTCATATATTTAATATATTATCATATATATTAAAGGGTGAATTTGTAATTTTACAATTGGATCTATATTTGAAAAAACTAAATTTAGTTGTTAAAATTTTTTTGCCGTATTTGCAAGTGCCCTTCAAATTTATGGTTACCAATAGAGGTGTTCACGGATTGGGTTGGGTCGGGTTAGGGGATTTTTTGGACCAACCCGATTTTTCGAGTTGATCAGATCACAAAACTGGTGGAACCGAATATGATCGCCAACCCAACCCAAAATTTTCAGGTTGGATCAGGTTGGGTCACCGGGTTGTTTTTAGTTTCAAGTTCCAGATCCAAACCACTCTTAGTTTCAGATTCCAGATCCAAACACATCACTTTAGTAGATCCAAACAAATCATCGTAGTTTCAAATTCCAGATCTAAACAAATCAAGTGAAGGAAATAATAGAGAAAATTCACTCACATTAAAAGGAACAAAAAATACCCAACTTATAAAATTCACACAGTCACACAATAGATATGGAGATGGATGCAATGGGAAACAAACGGCGTGACAAGTGAAGGAAGACGGCTTGCAGCAATGGACGATGGCGATGGGCCTTCAGCAACGGACGAGGCGACGAGCTTGCGACAACGAAAGACTGCGATAGAGGCCTGCGACAGATAGATAACGACGATGAACAAGATAAAATCGTGATAGATGAGAGAAGTGAAATCGAGTTTGAGGGATGAGTGATAAATTGAGAAATGAAATCAGAGATTAAAGAGGTGAGATGAAGAAGAAATCTGTGGAGATGAAAGATGTGAGATGGAAGGGAAATCGAGGGGATGGAAGATGGAGGCACATAATGAGAAGAGAAACCTTGAAACTTAAATATATATATATATATATAATATTAAAATAATGATTTCGATTCGGTTCGATTCGAACCGATTTTTTTCCTTAGTCGAACCCGCGAACCGAACCGAACTGATCGGTTCACAGAAAATTTAACCCAACCCAACCTGAACCTTTGACGGTTTGGGTTGGGTTGGTCGGGTTTATCGAATTGTCGGTTTTCTTGAACATCCCTAGTTACCAAATGGATAATGTGGTTTAAAAAATGTGTGTTAATACGTTGGGTTGGTGTGGTAGTACACTCAAGCCACATGTCATATGTCACACCTGTCTAGTATTAGAGTGAGTGGAAAAATTTCTAATACATTTTCTTAATACTCATCGTTAAATAAAATATTATTTTATTTAAATAAATCTCACACGAAATAAAGAAAATACTTGCTCTTAAGAGTAAGTATCTACTTCTTCTTTGCCACAATTAAATATTTGAGAACTCATTATTAAAAAAAGATTGCTTTTACATTTTTCGGAAACTACCACAAAATCGATTTTTGCAAAACAATTTATGAGAATTTCAGGTTTGAGTCCATATAAAGCTAGAAACGTATACAAAGGGTTTAGGCAAGTACTCGAATCAATATGCTTAAGAAAGCAAATCAAACAAAAATGTCTTTAAACTCCCTTTGCTAAACAAAGAAAAAGGCTGATTAGAGAAAAAGGAAAAAATTTTAGTTCAGGAGGAAGCCCCTCCTAAATTCCTGCGTGATCCAATAATATATAGAAATGTATTTTTTTTTAATATTGCATAATTCCTACATCGTCCATTTGTTTATATGTTACTGGACCACACACATGAATTCAAAAAAGACGAAAAAAAATAGTCATAATATTTAGTGACATAATGGTTAGAAAATACCTAGTTGATAATAGTAATTTTCTCCTTACCATCAATGACCGACAGGTACGAGAGATACAAAAATATATATTTTTTATAAAGATTAACGAGTGATTAATTCGTCAACAGTGGCAAAGGTAAGATTCGGTCGTTAGCCATCAAATATTTTACGTGATTTATTTTAAGCTAGTGGATACGAAGTGACATAATAACAAGTCTGAAAAACCATGTGCAGAAAGAAGAAGCTCGAAGTTCCAGAATTCTATTATTATTATTTTTTTTTTAATATTTTTGTCTCGATTCGGTTTTCTTTCTTACCCTCTGGACTCTTTCCAATAACTCTGCAAAGAGATAAAATTTTTATAAAAAGTACGTACTATTCAGAGCAGTTGAAGAGCAAAAACCAGTGCGAAATCAAGGACAGGTGCCGGTTTTTCTCGATCAACATCTTTTCTCCAATCACGTTTCGTCATTGTATAACACTATTTCTTGATTGATCATCATTCTGTAACCATTCATCCAATCATTTCTGTATTCTCTATTTTCCTCTTCTTTTTCAGCGATTCTTTCACTTTTGTTTGATGTTATCATTTGGAGATTTCTGTACATTGCTCGAGTTCTGAAGCTTTCGTCATGGCGACTCCGAAGAAATTTGCCCGCATCCCCAGCGTTAGAGAGCGCGTGGAGGACACTCTCTCCGCTCACCGTAACGAACTTGTTTCTCTCCTCTCGAGGTCTGCGGTTTTTTCTTTCAATCGATTTTATGCTCTTATGGTTGGGTTCATTTGTTCGTGTGCGTGTGTGGAATACTACCGAGTTTCTTCCTGTTCCTCCTCTCCCACCATTTTTTCGTTGACATTTCAGACAGGGGATTAAACTGGCTAATTTACTGACGCTTTAATTTTTGACTTCGGAGGTACGTTGATCAGGGAAAAGGGATTTTACAACCTCATCATTTGATCGATGAACTCGAGAACATCATTGGAGACGATGAAGGTAAACTGCATCTCTCCACTGGACCATTCGGCGAGATCCTCAAATCTGCTCAGGTGATGGATTATACACTAGTTATTTTTTATTTTGACTTTTGTACAATGGGGTTTGGATCTGCTACGCGTTTCTAATGTTGTAATGTTACTTGTTATTCTAATTTTTGATCGTTTATATATAATGTGTCATTTAATCGTAGGAAGCTATTATTCTGCCGCCATTTGTTGCAATTGCTGTTCGCCCCAGACCTGGTGTCTGGGAGTATGTGCGAGTCAATGTCCACGAACTCAGTGTCGAGCAATTAAGTGTGTCCGAGTATCTTCACTTTAAGGAAGAGCTTGTGCAGGGACAGTAAGTGATTTTTCTTAATTGAAGCTTCAATGTTTTCTGAAGGAGACATTTTAGGGATCCTTTTGGCTTATAATCTGATTAATATATTCTATCAAACTTATCTTTTTTTTTTTTGTTGTCTCTGCATGTGAACATCAGGTTTAATGAAAATTTTGTACTCGAGCTTGACTTTGAGCCGTTTAATGCAAACTTTCCTCGCCCCATCCGATCCTCATCCATCGGGAATGGTGTTCAGTTCCTTAACCGTCATCTGTCGTCGATTATGTTCCGCAACAGGGACTCTTTGGAGCCATTGCTTGATTTCCTTCGAGCCCACAAATATAAAGGGAGTGTAAGTTCACTGAATACGGTTATTGCTTAAATTGATGTTTGCCTGCTTTTCAGATTCTAAGCAAAGCAGCTTTTTTCGTGCTCTAGAATAACTTTAATTACAGGATGAACATTGTCTTATCATATTAACTTATGTTGTGCTTGCTGAATGAGTATGACCTCGATTTCTAAGTTCACGATGAATGTATAGAATGAGAAATATTAAAAGGCAGTCATAAATTATACTCGAATGTGGTCCAATCAACGTTTTGTGCAGGGGTTAATGTTGAATGATCGAATACAAAGCCTATCCCAACTACAGTCTGCATTATCAAAGGCTGAGGATTACCTTTCTAAGTTACCACCTGATTCGCCACATTCCGACTTTGAATATGTGTAAGAGTCTTGCCTTTGCTCATGTTGTACTTGATTTTGGTATTACTAGGAAACTGAATATGGTGGGAATTTATTTATTAGAATGATCGTGTCAGTAGCTGATATTTACTATTTTCATTTGTTATCATGCAGATTACAAGGAATGGGTTTTGATAGGGGTTGGGGTGATACCGCAGGGCGAGTGCTAGAGACAATGCATCTTCTCTTGGATATCCTTCAAGCTCCTGATCCCTCTGCATTAGAAACATTTCTGGGGAGAATTCCAATGGTGTTTAATGTTGTTATTTTATCTCCACATGGTTACTTTGGTCAGGCCAATGTTTTAGGTCTACCTGACACTGGTGGCCAGGTATAGAAAATTAGTTATCTTTTGAACAAAACTAAAGGATATCAGCAAATAATACGTTTTTTTCCTTTTGGAATTTTTATGCCTTTGTTCCTTCTGATCTGGATCTCTCTCTCTCTAGCACCAAGACTCGTCAGAAAATGCTGAAAAAATATAATCCTTTTTCTTTTGTAATTTCAAATTGCAGGTAGTTTATATTTTAGACCAAGTGCGTGCTCTGGAGGAGGAAATGATTCTTAGAATCAAGAAGCAGGGGTTAGATATAACTCCTAGAATTTTAATTGTAAGTGTGCCTTTTGCAGCAACTTGGATGAGTAAAACTTGGTTTAGGTGATTTTTCTCCAAAGTTTCTCTGTTATCTAATCATGTAGTGTGATATTATTATAGGTTACCAGGTTAATACCTGATGCCAAGGGAACTACATGCAATCAGCATCTGGAAAAAGTCAGCGGAACTGAGCATTCACACATTTTGCGTGTTCCTTTTAGGTCAGAAAAAGGAATTCTACGTAAATGGATTTCAAGGTTTGATGTATGGCCGTATCTAGAGACCTTTGCTGAGGTAAATTTGTACCATTGTTCTCCAAATACAATTTTTATTCGTAACTGATTTTTTTTTTGTAAACTGCCATATAATCATTAGATGCAACGATCATCGTTTGCTGATTATACAATTCACTGATATCTATCCAAATTTTACAAACCCTACTGCCTAAGTGAAACTGTGGAACTAATTTTCTTGTCAATGCTTCATTGTTTTGATCTTCAGTACAATGTGTTCTTTGCACTCATTTAGTCTTACGATGTTGTCAATTATATTAATACTCATGAGGTTTCATCTCAAAATCAATTGGCAGAGTAGTCTATGTCTATGTAAGGTTCCTTATTTTATCAATGTGGGATGTGTGATCCTTAACATGTCCCTCAAGATCGTGGCTCTTTTGGCTCATTGATCTTGATCGGATGCTTGTTTGAACTTTTGGGCTCTGACTATATCAATATTCCTGGGGTTCCATCTCAAAACCAATTGGCAATAAGTGGAGGAGCCATGTCTATTATAAACATATGTAAATTCCCTTCTTTTATCAACCTGATCGAATCCATAATTTGTACAATTTAAATGCCTTTTTGAATTTCATTACCACTTCTTTCATTCTTTCCTGTGTCTATATACTCACAAGTCATCAAATATTTGTACTATCGATTTAACAGTTCTTATGTATGAATCGGACTTCTGATACACCATTTTGTTACTTGGGACAGGATGTGGCAAGTGAAATTATAGCTGAGTTGCAGGGTATTCCAGATTTTATTATTGGAAACTACAGTGATGGAAATCTCGTCGCATCTTTATTGGCATATAAAATGGGAGTTACTCAGGTACTTTAGGCTAGGAGGCAGAAGCTTTTGGTATTTCAACTGTTGTCTTTCATTGACACTGGTTTTTTGCACTCTGCAGTGCACTATAGCTCATGCGTTGGAGAAGACGAAATATCCTGAGTCAGACATATATTGGAAAAACTTTGAGGAGAAATATCACTTCTCATGTCAATTCACTGCCGACTTAATAGCCATGAATAATGCAGATTTTATCATCACCAGTACATACCAGGAGATTGCTGGAACGTATGTCTTCTTAATATTCTTATGCTGGTTGAAACCTTGTGTTGTGTCAGACCAACTTTATCGATAGCGTCCTGTCATAAAAGTGTCATGCACTTGGTTTTTTATTATTATACCTTTTAATGATGTACAAGAAAGATCACTTAAAATCTTATTTTAAATCCCTTAACATAGACTCATTTTCTATTTCAGTCTTTGAACCTTCAATTCCTTTAATTTAGTCCTTCATCTCTGATTGAATATCCATATTGCCTTCTGTTAACTTCTGTAGTAAACTTTGTTCTTGTAGAAGGACATTAGTCGACAACTTGGTTAGAAGATTTTGAGATTTGAGATAAGAAATGGTTGAAAGAAGTTAGTTGTAAGAAGAGAGATGTCACATCCACAAGATTACTGTGTATGCAATTAGTTTATTTTTTTTCCATAAAAATCAGCCTATTGCAGTGGATTGACCCAATTTTCTCAAGCGTGGAGATACTAAATGTGCTTCCATTATTTTTATCATTATGCCTAGATGTAAGTTTTAATGAACTTAATTACACAATTTGCTGAATTAATACCATCTTGATCTTGCAGGAAGAACACGGTTGGTCAATATGAGAGCCACACTGCTTTTACGCTTCCTGGGCTCTATAGAGTTGTCCACGGAATTGATGTCTTTGACCCGAAGTTCAATATAGTTTCTCCTGGAGCAGACATGACAATTTATTTTCCATACTCTGAAAAGCAGTTAAGGCTTACAGCTTTACATGAGTCACTGGAGAAGTTATTGTATGATCCGGAACAAAATGACGAACATGTGTAAGTCTCTTCGCTCAACTTTTTACGTTCTGGCCTTACATCTCATAAGTTTTGTGCACAAATCACTTAAAGAAAATCAGTATTCATTATTAATTCTACATGGCGAAAAGCTTTAAGTTCTATTATTTGGGAGGTTGATTTATTTTCAAAATAAGGAACTAAACCATATCAAATGGGAAGGTCTAATCTTCACTTTGCACGTATGCAGTGGTGCGATAAATGATAGGTCGAAACCTTTGATCTTTACTATGGCAAGATTAGATAAAGTAAAAAACATTACTGGATTAGTTGAGCTGTATGGCAAGAATGCCAGATTAAGGGAGTTAGCAAACCTCGTTGTTGTTGGTGGTTATGTGGATGTGAAGAATTCCAAAGACAGAGAAGAAATGGGAGAAATTGAGAAAATGCACGATCTTATGAAAAAGTACAACTTGCACGGTCAGTTGCGTTGGATATCGGCTCAAACAAATCGAGCGCGTAACGGTGAGTTGTACCGCTATATTGCAGACACAAGGGGTGTTTTTTTCCAGGTTGGTGATTATGGACTTCCTCTGTTTCATTTTTTTTTTTTTTTTGAAGCATTATCCTGACTTCAAAATCTGAAATTTGCAGCCAGCAATTTATGAAGCTTTTGGACTTACTGTTGTGGAGGCCATGACTTGTGGGCTACCAACATTTGCTACCTGCCATGGTGGCCCTGCTGAAATCATTGAGCATGGCATATCTGGGTTTCACATTGATCCCTATCATCCAGACCAGGCTAGTACTCTTTTAGTAGATTTCTTTGAGAAGTGCAAGGAGGATCCAAGCCATTGGACTCGAATCTCGGAAGCCGGGCTCCGAAGAATTCACGAAAAGTAATGTTTTCTGAAATCTAGATCTTACCACATTGCACTGTGACATGGATGATAATTCTCAATATAACGTGGTTGTAGGTATACATGGAAAATTTACTCCGAACGACTGATGACTCTGGCTGGAGTCTATAGTTTCTGGAAGTATGTTTCGAAACTCGAAAGGCGCGAGACGCGTCGTTACCTGGAGATGCTCTACATTCTGAAGTTCCGTGATCTGGTGAGTACTTTAGCATCTGTGCTTGATGTTGGTCGAATTTATTTTCTCCTCAAAGTTTGGTTAACATAAACTTCACGTCTGAGCAAACCAAGTAAATACGAACTTTTTTCTTCTTGGTTTCCCTTCTAACAATCTGATTAGTGGATGGGTTAATGAAATATCCTCTGCTTTTGTTGCATTAGGCAAAATCTGTTCCTTTGGCAAGTGATGATCATTGAGCTTCTGGTGGTCAAGGAACTGCTTTACAAATGTGGCATGTTTCTGAGTTTCCATGGTGATGGGGTATGGTTGTGTAAAAATAAAGTTGTGTTTTATGTATATATTTTAATTTAAAGTCTTGAGACAGGTAACTGGAAGCCTAGAGCTTTTATCTATTTGTTGCAAGTCTGTGACATTGACTGCTTAGCAACTTTGGGGGAAAAACTGCTTTCCAGCATTGCTCAGAACATGGTTTTAAGTTTGCAGTATTAAAAATCGCTTTTGAGGGTTTTTTTTTTTAGGTTACAAAATAGTCTGCAGTTACTCTTGACCATTAAATTTGTTTCAAAAATACCCTTTAAAAAGAAAATGGAGATGTGGGAGATGTGACATGGGAAATAGTTTCAATTATTTCTTACAACTTGCTCCTATTATTTAAAAGTTCCATTTTAATATTTGTAACTTTTAAAGTTTCAAAACAACCATTCGTACTAACTTTTCTATCAAAATGAATACGGAGCTCTAAAATTATATGTGAGTACAAATAACATTCGAAAGGTTTTAATCACATTCAAAATGGTGTTGGTCAAGAATGTAAGTAGATCTGGGGGATTGAATTTTAGTCAAAATTATATCCTTTAAAGGGAGAACCCACACATAGTAAAAATCTCGAAGAACAGTAGGATCTGGAAAGTAAGTTTTGTAAGAAGAATATTTTCTTGAAAGAAAATTTGTGGAAGAGTGGGCTTCATGTTGAGCAATGATTTGATGTTGTCTTGGATTTCTTTATCAGCTTTAATTTTTGTAATTTGATCATTTGGGTACACTCACACCTTAGTCCAAAGTTCAGGAATATAATTGAAATAACTCCAAGTGCCTCTATTTTGACAATTTATCATCTAATTCACCATTATGGTTTATGTCACGTTTTTAATGAAAAAGTTGACCTAAGGAATTGCAACTTTTGAAAGAATAGCGCTATAATTAAATTTATTCTAAAGCTCAGTGGTATTTGTATAATTTAATATTTACTAAGAACCAAATATAGGGTTTACAAATTTAAATTTTTATTAGCCTACCTTTTTTTTATATATATAATTTCAATCACAAATAATTAGTCAAACTTAAGATTTTTTCCCCTAATTTCAAGTCTTTAGACTTCATAAATTAAGAGACTTATGAAGCCTTAATGAGTCCATATTTAGAAACATATAATCTAGTCCTAATGCTTAATATAATCTAGGGAGAATTTGGCCTTTATTTTTTTCGTCTTGATTTTTTTCCATGAAGTTTTTATTGTTATAAAACATTAAAATTAATTGATAAAATGATGATGTAGTATCAAATATATTTTATTAACTGAATTGAAAGTATGCATGTTTTAATTTGATCATGAAATGAGGCACCATTCATCTATAAAAAAAAGAAAAATTACTCATTTTATATGACCTAACAAATAGGAACTTTTTTTTTTGTAAAAAAAAAAAGTAACTTGATTTGAAATTACTTGTTATAAAAAATTGATGCATTAAAATTTAGTGTTCTTGACAAGTTTATAAAAATTTTCATTTCTAAATTCATATATTGTCATTCTTTAATATATATGTATATAGTGATCGGAAAGATTTAATTAAGAATAACTAAATATACAAATGATTAAATCAAAGCTTTTAAATGATTTAGAGACCAAATTACAAAAAGATTCAAATATTAAGGATTAATTACAATATTTTAGTAAAACAATAATAAGAGCAAAATTGTACTTATATTTAGTGAAGAACTAAAGTCCCGTTTGATAACTATTTTATTTTTTTTAATTTTCGTTTTTAAAATTTAAGCTTAAAAATATTACTTTAACGTATCGTTACTCTTTTGATATATCGTGATGGTAAAAAAAGAAAATAATTCAATATATAAAAGATTAAATTAAAATTTTCAAAAAATAAAAACTATATATACCTCTAGCTATGAAAATAATAAAAAATGCCTTTTAAGGGGGAAAAAGGGAAAAATGACCCATTTATACGAAAGAAGACAAATTTTTTTTTTTTTAAAATAAAGAAAGAAAACAATTGAATGCATAAAAGATTAAATTAAAAGTTCCAAAAAATAGAAACTATATATAACTGGAGTTATGAAAATAGTAAAAAATGCCTTTTAAGAAGAAAAGAAAATAATCCAATTTGTTAAAAACATTTTAAAAGAGAAATGCAGGCTGTGGGGTTCGAACCCACGCGCACTTATGTGCAGAAGATCTTAAGTCTTCCCCCTTAACCACTCGGGCAAACCTGCATTTTGTTTGATTTTTCGTAATATAATTTATTTATTATTTTGTTTGCTGTTCAACTAGAGAATTTAATGCGTATATTTTATTATTGGATTTAATATTTATTTTTATAACGTAACGAAAGGATTTTTTTTCTTCAAAATTTAATTTGCATATGAGAGGTTAGAGTGAATTAAAAAAGGAAATTTAAATGCTTTGACATGTTAGCATTTTCATGATTTTTTTTAATGCATCAGAAATTCAAAACTAAAATTTATAATTATTTATTCTTTACCTTAAAAAAATCTTATCAAAATAAAATAAAGTATCAATTTTTATCATTTAACAATTTAATTTTTTAATTTAATAAATACATTTGGTCTCTCGTTGATTTATCGATCTACATCTATATACTATATTAAAAAGTGAGAATCTCGAAAAAACATTTTTGGACTATTATACCCTTCATTTCATTTATAAATTTACAAAACATGCCATAGAAAATTAATTATAAATAAATAAATTATCAATAATAAATATTTACTTAATTATTAATCATAATGATTAAATGAAATTGAAAAAGTTGGAATATTGGAAAAGTGTGTTATTTAATTTATGAAGGCTTAATTATTTGCACTAATAATAATAAATAATAGAATTTCAAAAGTTGTAGAATTCCAAAAGATTTGTAACATTTTCATCTTATACCTATATAAATAGGCATTTTCCTCCACCATTGTCCACCAATACTCAAGCTACATTTTTTTCATTCTTTTTGGTTCTCCCTCGTTTTCTTGCTTTCAAAATCTCTCTAATCTTGAAAGCAATTCAAGACATACATGATACGTTCAAGTTGTAATGAAAATTTATATATCGAATCGTTGTATCTTGATTTATAAGTTAGTATGGTTATACTTTTACTTTTATGAAGTTACTTACCAATGTTTGTCTAATATGATCAATCTATCTCGTGTGTATTGATTTAGTTTTTAACTTTTTTTTTGTTTTGTTACTATTGTTCGGTTTCTGTTATTTTATAATTACTATATATTATATTATTATTTTATATTTGTTAATATTTATTATAATTAGCATTATTATGTTATTTTATTTAAAACTTTTGTGCAAATTTTATTTTTAATTTGGTAACCCAAATGTCTTATAGCTTCCAATTTTATAAGAAATTTAGATTATTATAATATTTTTTAAATTTATAAAGGTATAGAACATGTCGTAGAAAAGGACTGGTAAATAGTAAATTAATTAATAAATATTAAATAATAAGTGTCAACTATATATAACAATGGCACGAAGTCTAAAAAGTTTATTTTTTAGGATAAAATGTAATCTGAAAAATTAGAATAGGTAAAAGGTGGTTTAATTTATGAGGGGCTTAATTATTTCATTAATAATAACTAATAATAGAAATTTCAAGAGTTTTGTAAATTTTCATCTTTTACTCGTATAGATAGGTATTTTATTCTAGATTAATTAATAAATTATAAATAGTATACCTCAACCCTAACAATTGCATGGAATTTAAAAAGTTTATTTTTTTAGGACAATAGGAAGTCTAAAAAATTTGAGTGCGTAAAAGGTGGTTATATTTAATTTATGAATAGCTTTATTATTTTCACGAGTAATAATGGATAATAGAATTTTAAAAGTTTTATAATTCTAAAATATTTGTAACTTTCCATCCTCTACTAATATAAATAGGCATTTTCTTCTATAATTTTTTTACCAATACTTTGAGTTACACTTTATCTTTATTTTGAGTTCTCCATCATTTTTTGCTTTAAAAAAAAAAAACTTAAGAGTGAAAACATACCTGTTAAGTTCAAGTCGGCACAAAATTTATATATTAAAGTTATGTTGTAATTCTTAAGTTTGTGTAGTTATAATTTTACTTTAATAAAATTAAATAATTATTTTTGTCTAACAATATAAACCTATCTTCAAGAATGTGTGTATTGATGCCAAAGCGAGTATAGATCAATAGTAATTGACATATATCTCCAACCAAGAGGTTGTGAGTTTGATCCCCACCTCACATGTTGTACTAAAAAAATGTGTGTATTGATCATGTTACTATTGTTTTTATTTTTTTATTATATAATTGCTATATTGTTGTGTTTGTTTATATATTGATATTTTTATCTCCCAATCAACCATATTAATTAATTGCAGAAAATAAGTGAAGCTAAAAGTTTGCCCATTGGAGAAAACATATATTACTTTAACTTGTTTAATGGTATGTGTTTGCTGGGTGTAATTTTTAGAATTCCAAGTTTATTGGTACAATTTGCAAGTTTAACTTTTATCGTCAAAAAGTTTAGGCGGTGTAAATTTTTTTTACTTTTTTATTATTATTATTTTATTTTTTTTATAATGGCATGAGTATTTCATTTTTACAAATGAGATTGTTTTGGGATGAAATCGTAACAAGGAGCATAGTTTAAGGATGGTTTGTGACATTTGTCCTAAAAATTATTAAAACCATAAAAGAAAAGAAACAATAAACATTGAAAACCAACCATCACAATGACGGTTGGTTTCAAGGCTGTGACAGCATTCTGTGTAGACAACCTGCACATTATTTATATATATTTTTATTGAAATACTAAATTCGATGACCGACCCCAACCTAAATCTTTATTATATTAGGCGGTCAGATCAATTTTGAAATTTGTATTGTTGGTATTCGTTCCATGGTGAAATTCTTCTTATTCATCTATTAATCCATACTATATATAGAATGGCCGAAAGGATAAACTTTTTCTTCCTATCTTATCACTTAAAAGAGGTTTTTTTTTAATTATTTTGATGACATTTTTGTTATTCTGACTCTTTCCCTCCCAAATCTCTTCAAATTCCCACCCATTCACTCCCTCCTTTCTCTCACCCTTACACTTTATGCCACCCCTCTTTCTTCTACTTTTTATATTTTTATTTACTTATTTTTTTTTTCTTTTTAGTTCCTTTATTTAAGTTAGAATGAAGAGAAATATAAGGAATATAATGTGAAAAGTTTTATTCTTTTCACAAAATTTTTTTCAATTTATTTCCAAAAATTAATGACTTTTAACTTTAATTATATAATTAATAATGAAATTTCAAAAGTCGTAATGTTTTAATCGTTAAATAATATTTAAAAAGTAAAAGTATAAAAATATATATTAAAATAAGTAATTAGATTGGTCTTTTCGCCACACTGATCTAACTTCCTTCATTATTCTCTCATCTACCTCTCTAAATTCTTATATTCTCTTCACTTTCCAACCTCTCTTAGTTCTTGCGTTATTCTCTCTTGGTAATTTATTCATGCACTCTCATTATTTCTCATGCTCCAATTACCCCAAGTTCTCCTCCTCTCACTAATCCTTTCATCTTCCTCTTAGGGTCTATAAATCTATAAACCGATCTCGAAATAATAACACAAGCAAAGGAAAAAAAAATCTTAGAAAGTATGAGATGAAGGTGTATGTGGAGAGGGTCCCCAACTAGATTGACACCGAGAAATAACATTTTTAAGGAGAGTTTCAGGAATCGAAAATGATTTGGAGTTTCGAAGCTCAAATCTTCATCAAATGTTAGAGGTGGGTGGAGCAAAATGTGTACAAACGGATAAAATGGAGGTACCTTACATTGTTTCTTCTTCAAATTTCGAATTTTTTCTTCCGATTTCGCAGGATATTTTGCTTGTCACCCTTAAGGTTATGGCTGCGTACTGCCATTGAAGTTGTTGTTGTTGAGTTTAGAGTCTAAACCATGATTTTATTTTTCCTTGGTATTTGATAGCATTTTATATTTAGGGTTATTTTAGTTTTTTTAAGTTGCATATAAATAGACAAAAACATGTATAATGAAATTCGTGATTTATGGATTCTTAGTTATTTCACGCTACTAAAATTCCAATTTTTACATTCTATTGCACACATGATGACAGCTTGTCAAATTTGAAATTCATTTTAATATTGTATTTTGTTTATAAAGATTTTTGCTATATTTTATTTTAAAATTTATAATTTTAAAATCAATTTATTTTTTATTTTTTATTTTATTAAATTTTTTTGGAG